AGCTCAGCTACCGGAAAGCACTAGAATTAACTCTCATAACAACAGCCGGGTAACGACGGCCAGGTCCTGCTTCTGTCCAAGTTAAGCCACAGATGCTTTTCCACTGATTTTAAAGGAATACTAAACAGACTCCAAATGAGTGTTCACTGCTTCAGAGACATTTCCTTTTCCTCTGTGATAGATACTAATCTGCTTCTTCAAACAGATTGAAATTCACTGGGATATAGAAGAAAAAAGGAAAATATGGTTAAATACAAGACTAAGTCCTGATGGTCAGCACTGCAGGACTAGGAAGCAACAGAGCAGGGTGGTCAGGATCCTGACCTGATTCCTTCTGAAACCAGTACGAACATAGCCACCAAGTAGGGCAGGAGTCAGAATGAGGTTTTTATTTCCTTCTAGAAAAAAACAAACAAACAAACAAACAAAAAGCAAATTAAAATCCCAGGAAACACAGGGAGTGCACGGCCTCCCTGGGATCTGACTCCTCAGCACTGTCATGCATCCAAATTCCAAGGGACTCTGTCGTGCAACAGTGAAAGAAAACACACATGTGTTTACAGGACCAGCTGTCTTTGTGGTCTTCTTTTTTTCCCTCCCCCTCTCCCCTTATTCATGGCCAAGGGAGTTTCCATGCCAGCTTTGCTGGATGGCATGATTAGTAAAGGAAAAAAAATATCAGGCCGCCTTATGTACCACCCTAAGCTCCCCAACCTCTCAGTTTCCCTTGATTCCTTAGTGCAATGAGAACATAGCAAAAATGCCCATCTCTCACTGAAGTTTGTAACAGCTTTTGCCCAGGGCTCTTAAATGAGGCTCTGCTGGACTTTCAGGACAGATGGGAAAGTCATCAAGGAGAAAAGAACTATCATTTCCTGACCAGAAAGCAGACCGTGGACTCTCCTGCAGACTACTGCCTGATTTTACATCAAGGCTAACCACTAACACATTTTGTGATATCCTTCTCTCTCCTCACAAGTGACCTATGAGTCAGATTTTGCTACCTCCTTCCATCATAGGAACACTCAGATACAGAAGCTGGGCTGCTGGAAAGCGTTTGGGGCAGGGACTGGCTGATCCCTCACATCCCTCATGTTAGCACAATAAGGACTCTCTCACATGGTCCTTGAGTATTGCTGCAAATAACAAGGCTCCTGCTGCTAATGATTAATAAGCCATTACTGAGTCTCACATGGGTGGTGCTTAACAGATGGTCTTGATGTCTGGCATGGCACTGGTTCCCTTCCCATGTGGGGCCTGAATGCGTTCATCTTGAGGTTTTTTGGGTGAATGTAAAATTTGGGATAGAAGTGGGAAATTGATAGGCTGACAGGTTGCTGCCACTTGTGCCCTCAGAACTGGCTGTGCACCTCCAGCTCAACCTGTTTTACCCATCACCATTTCAGTCCTGAGCCCTCTCCTCTGCAGCACAGTGCTGTTCTGCAGTGCCCTGGGCTCTCCCTCCCGCACTGCTAGAGCACTGTCCACCTGCCCTGCTGTGCTCCTACCACCCTCTTCCTGTGCCCTTCAGCAGCTCTGGCAAAGCACCTCCTGCTAGAGCAGCCCTGCTCTGTTGGTGCTCAGTTGTGACCCACAACATCTGCCTTTTGGCTTTGTTCCTGTGCCTGTTCCCTCTCCAGTGCACCTTGGCTCAGACCTGCAATACTGCGCTCCTTCTACAACTCTGCTAGTGTACCTACAGCCTTAACTGGAGGTCCATTCATAACTGTGCCTTTTGAACTCTTCAGACTGCTCTGCTGGTCATCCAAGCACTTATCTGTGACACTCCAGCTTTCAATATCCCTGTAACAGTGACACAGCCCTGCCAGTACATCCTCCTAGCACTTACTGCAGCCATGTCATGCAGTATTTCAACTGTTCCAGGGCTCTCCCCTCCCTTTCCCTTTCCTTGCAAGGGGTCCTCTCCCTCATTTCTGGCACCGGTTCTTCTGGTCCTGCACAGATGTGCTTCGGCAGCTGAGTGCTCCTATGATGGAAGGCCAAAGCTGACCCAGCCCTGCAGAGAAAGGGCCAGGCCCTGGCCTGCCTGCTTGATGTGGCTAAAGCCAAGGGACACAGGACAGAGGAGAGGAAAGTGGAGATGAGAGTGACCACCATGTCAGCCAGGCCTGGGCCAACTCCTCTCAGGGTGGGCAGATTCAGGAGAGCTGGGCAAGAGACAGTGGTGGTCCAGCTGCTGAGCATTGCTCAGCATTTCAGTGACAAGATACTGGCAGGTGTCCCCCTGCTCCTTGAGGTCCCTCAGACCCCTTCTGTCCCTTCTCCCTGCTGCCCGAGTGGAAACCCACTCCCTACTATTTCCTGTCCCTGGGTTCCTGGGAAGCAGCTACCAGGCACTAAGCAGGGAGCCGGGAGCAGGTTTAAGAAGACCTTGCCTTTTCCTTTATGCGCCCTGAGCCACCCGACAACTTCACCCAGGAAAGCTGGGAGCGAGAGAGCAAGCAGCAGGTCAGGGCCCTCCCGCATGGGGCGGCCGGCGGGGAAGACGCGCTGCTGCAACAACCATGTCAGCCGCTACGACTCGGTCAAGGACGGAAGCCAGGCAGTTAGTGATGCTCTCTCGGAGGACCCCCAGCCCCAGCGGACTTGGGAGCCGGTGTCCCTCTGCCCGCCCCGAGTCGTTCAGCGCTGCCCTCTGGATGGAGTGGCCCAAGCCCGCACCGGCACCCCCCAACCCCGTCCCGCTAGAGCACGCCGTTGTGTGTGTGTGGGAAGTTGGTTCTGGAAGCGGCCCGTCTTTAACCCCCAGCTCTGCTCGCGGAAGGGGGCAGGGGAAGAAAGCGGAGTTAATGGGGAGGGGAGCTAACGGCAGAAATATGAGGCTGCGAAGACACCCCCCCCCCCCAACCCCCCACCCCCACCCCGGAGTCACAGCCATTGTCCCTGTTCCCCCTCTGCCGCTCCAGCTGCTCTGCAAAAAGGTTAGAAAGAAACAAGAGTGGGAACCCACCGTGTCCTCCTCGGAGGGAGACAGGGGAGCGGTAGATAGAGATAGGCACAGAGTGGTGCTTGCTGCCGTGGAAGTGATGCTCATACTGAGCCTGAGATACAGACGAGGAAGAGGAGGCAGAAGAAGCCACGTTAGAGGAACTCCACACAGAGCTGACGATACATCCCCAAAAGAGGGAGCACATCCACAGGGTCCAGGCGGGGCGGCGTCCCGGGCAAATGCTGGGGTCTATTCTCAGGTGCATGGTCAAGGCACAAGACACCTATAGACGGGCAGTCTGAATTCCAGCCAGAGAGAGAGAATAAGGTTCATGATGCCAGGGGACCCATGCTAGCAGAAAGGAGAGTCGCTTCCGAGGCTCTAGGGCGGGCGGGCGTGTTCAAAAGGCAAAGAGACAGTAAGTGTGCGAGAGAGCGAGTGCAAGGAGGGAAGGGGAGGGAGGGGAAAGGTTAGTAACCACACACAGAAGAATAAGACGCGCCGTTTCCCAGGGCTGGATCTACTGTGTTGGGAACCCGACGACAGCACCAAGCCTCCAGGAGAGCGCAGGGGAGCCGCTCATGTCAGCGCGGGGGTCCCGGAGCTTGCACTGGTCAGGTTCCTCCAGGATCACGGGGTCCCTGAGGACTTTTCCCTGCCTGCGATCACTGTCTCTCACTTTGCTGAGAGGGACTATAGAAAACGAAAGAGAAGAAATAAGCCAGAGACCCCAGGTAGATTTTTTGATTTCTTTTTTTTTTTATCCTAATTCCAGGGGGGTTCTGTTGCTTCTCCACTAGCAAATGTTGCAATGCAGAACTGCTAGGCACACGCACACGCGCACACACACACACAGAGATCTGGATTGTTATCCTCCTTCCACTGGATCCAGGCGACCAAGGGCTCAAGCCGATTAACCCTGCGCAGCCGGGGAGGGCAACACCACGTCTTCCCGGACGGCCGGTCGCGGAGCAGAGGCCGGGGCCGGGCGGCGCGGTTCCGGGAGCGGAGCGGGGCGCGGAGCGAGCGGAGCCGGGGGCGGGAAGCTGGCGGCCGGCGCGCCAAGTGCGGGCAACTCGGCCGCGCAGGTGAAGCGCAGCCTGGGCAGCCGGGGAAGCTGCTCCTCGAATGGGCGAGCCGTATGCAAATATCCCGGCCGCGGCGAGCCAATGAGCACGGTGGCAGCTCTCCGCAGAGGGACTGGCTGTCTCCGGCGGGAGGCGGGGCTAGAGGGCGCCACCGCCCCCGCCATTCATGCGCCGGTGTCTTACACACGCACCGGTTGCCCCCCGCCCGCTGAGTGGAGGTCCCGGCCCCGGCACCAGCCTCGGTCCGGCCACCCGGGTGAGCCTGGCGGTAACGGTGGTAGTGGCGGTGGCGGCAGCACTGCTGCTGCCAGCAGTGGAAAACAGTCCGGACCCCAAAACTATTAGCAAAGGAGTTCCACGCTCGGCCCCGGCGCAGGGGAGCGCCTTGCACCTCACGGGGGACCAGCGCCCGGCATCCACCGTCGCTCAGGCGGCTGTGGCTGTCCACCTAGAGCGGTCCCTAGGGAATTGCTCCCGCTCCTTCCATGCGAGAACGGGATGCGCCCGCTTTCTTTGGGCACCCCTTTAGAGTGCGTGCTGCTGGGAGCGAGAAATGCAACCGCTACCGGCCCTCTCGATGCTACAGGGACGCCCTTAATTAATACCGTCCCCACCGCGCCGACCTGTTCCGAGTGCTCGTCCTGCGGCCACAGCTGCACAGGAGCGAAGTGAGAACCGGGAAAGACCGTGCTCGTTAAAACCCCATACTGCTTTTATAGTAATCATAGAATGGTTTGGGTTGGAAGGGACCTTAAAACTCATCCAGTGCCAACCCCCCTTAAAGCTCATCCAGTGCCAACCCCTCTGCCATGGGCAGGGACACCTTCCACTAGACCAGGTTGCTCAAAGCCCCACCGAGCCTAGCCTTGAACACTGCCAGGGATGGGGCAGCCACAACTTCTCCGGGTAACTTGTGCCGAGGCCTCACCACCCTCATAGTGAAGAACTTCCTAAAATTTTATTTTTTTTTTAACGCTCCTGCAATAGTAATCTGAGTCCAGCCAGGGCTATTTACACCTAATCATTGCACAGCAGGCACTGCAGCCAGAGTTTGCAGCCCATAAATTAATAAATAAAGCCAGCAACATTATCTAGTAATTTACTGCCTATCAATTTGCATGGCAGAACTCCCCAGCTGCCCCAGGGAAGCCAGGCATCAGTGGTGAAGTGACTTATGCTAGAGTCAATAAGGAGCTTTGGAAAAGGAGCCAGCCAGCCCCAGGACTCCTAACATTGTGCTGCACTGCCTCCCTCTCCTTCATTTAGTCATCCAAACCAGAATAAACTGTTTATGACTAAGTTTCCTTGTTTTCCCCTCCAGACACACATTTGTAGGTGTGCACAGATGCGCACGCCTTCGAAACCTTTCACAAGTATTTCCCCAATGCAGAGATTCAATGTTTTCGGTCATCGATCTCGATTTGGTACAGTATGTCAGTAACTTGTAATGATCAGCCTGAGCTGCATGCCTAGTACTTCTGGCTGAGCCTGATATGCTTGCAATTTATTTTCCAGAAACTTACATTAAAAGTGATCTAAATCGGGGGCTAGTGCAGTCAGAAATACTTCAGTGTTTTGCTGGGTTTAATCAATGATTGTAGATGGTAAATCTGGAAAGCGAGTATATTACTTTCAAATTTATCCAGCATCTGCCACCTAAGAATCTCAGAGTGCCATAAAATCTTTTATAAATGAAGCCATTCAGCACCTTTAGGTATTACTTTGCCATTCTGCAGAAAAGGAAACGGCGTCTCAGAGGCATTGGACCAGTTAGTGACTGATAGACATGGGAACTGAACAGAACAGACACAGAGATTCTCTGTCGTAAACAGTACATGCTGGTAGTATAAACGTTTGACTGATTTGGTGGCTATTTGTTAGCCTTAAAGTGTGACTATTCGCTTTCCTCCCAGCAGGGCTCACAGCTGGAGACAGGGGTGAGTGACCTGTGGTGCTGGTGCCTGCTGGCTGGCAGATTTGCAGTGCTATGCATAGAGCACAGAGCAGTTTTATAATTGCAAGACAACTGTTCCTGGCCTTGAGTTTTGTTGCTGGAGTTGCTGCCATGTATTTGGTGAGATATCCAGAATGATCCCAACTTCAAGAGAAAGCCACCTCCTGCTCCTAACTGTGCTTGGGAGAAGAGGCAGAATATAACCTGGCATGTCACTCTTGCAATGTGACCAACCCACGAGGATGCTGCTAGCATCCACCTTGAATCCCTCACCACAGAAGTCCTAACTTTAACCCAGTTCACAGACAAAGTACTCTAAAATATTTATTGTGCAGTTAAACTGTAGGGGGCTTGATGTAGGGGAAAGGGTATGTACTAAATACACATCACTGAAAAGCTTGTTTGTAAATACAGGAAATCTGTTCTGAATACATTTCAGACTCTCCTAGTTAATCAGCAATGCAACAGTGATTTGCATCCCATCATTTTACTTTTTCTCTGGCTAAAGCATCACAAAAAGGACCAAACATATCAAACATTACAGGATCAATCACTTAAAAAATGGACTATAGATCTAAACATTGAGGACTTACTGCTGCTTCTCCAGAAGGCAGTGGTGGAAAACGCATTCATTTGTATGGAAAATGGATGTGTTTTAGGAAGCACAGTTCTAGAGGGAAGAGGAGAGAAACTTCATGAATACACTCCTTGCCACTTTCCTGCAACTATTTGCCCTGTTGCTGAAAGACGGAAGAAAAGATACAAAAACCAAAAACCCAAAAGAGGGACTTTTTGTTGAGTGAAGTATGGTAGCATTCTTGGGCTCTTAATTCCCTTTTAACAGTCTGTCAGACCACATCCTCTTCTCTGTACTTGAGACCCTGCTCATGCTGGCCACCTCTTTGGCTGCTGCAGGTGGCACAGCCCTTAATGAACAATAAATTACCAAGCTCCGAAACAAATCACTGATGTTTTCCTCACTCAGTCTTCCACCAACCCTTCCCCACATACAGAAGGGTACCAGCTTAGATGCAGGGGATGTACAAAGGGGATGAGCATCACTTCAAACTGCCCCAGCCAGAGACAGAAAGTGCCTAGGAGTCCTTTAACAGGAAAAACAGCTGCTGTGTGCTGTCCTGGGTAAACCGCCCTAGACAAAAAGGAGAAAGGCCAAGAAAGCCAAACTGAAGGAGCACAACATAAAAAACTGGGAAGCTGGCTATAAATACATCATAGGGTTCTGGTGACACCATAAAGTACTGGAACTTCACTCTGCCTTGCTTTATTAGGTGTTGGTGGATGTATTTACTACCCTGTAATTCACAGGTGACTCATGTATTTAGCACTACCACTGCAGGAAGAGGGCAGATTTCAACTGCAGTTTCCCCTCTTGGGTTGCAAGGGAAAGTTTATACTTAGAAGTTTCAGCAACATTATTCCCACCGGATTTACTCCAAAAAAGGAACTGTTATTATCCTATTAGTTTAGTTCATCCGGGTAAACATACAGTCTAAATGCCCTTGCATCTTCAGAACTGGGATGGATACCTTAACAGATGATGGTTCTCATCATATGTTGCTTCCCACAGATAAAAGTAGTCTTGTTTCTTACATAGCTCTTTCTTTTACTAGAAGAGCAGAGGGACACCATATTCTGCAGAAGTGAGAAATAATAAAGCAATTGTTTCTGAGTTTTAGAATCCCAGAAAGAGAGCCAGTTGGCTTCAAGCCCAGGAAAAGTACAACTCTCTCTATATTTCTCATTAAATCTTAGTTGTTAATTACTTTGCTGCACTCAGAACTGGAAGAGTCAGCTCTGCTCCAAAATCACAGATCTCAAACTGGATCCAAAGGGGAATCACCATTAGCTTTTAGTAATACAGGGTGACTGCCAGAGATGACAGCACTGGCTCCACCCAGCACAAACTAAGGTAGTACAGCATTAGCTAGTGCATTGCTATATAATAAGGTTAAGAGAATAAGGTCAGCTAGAACAGCCTGTCACTGAATAGCTTTACCCAAACAGAACTGTTTCTCCCAACAGTCCCTTTTTTCTTTTTCTTTTTTTTTTTTTTCAAATGTACTTTTCCAAGAACAAGGAGGGCAAGAACAGGTTCCGCTTATGATCTTAAAATAGTGTCTTCAATAAAATAAAATAAACCTGAGGGGACTGCATGCTGTCGAGAGCTGAGGACTGGCAAATAGACACCTTTGTCTTTAGCAAGCTACTTCAAATACTGTGACCAAAAAGCTGGTAAGTTCCTCAGTCCTGCCAGCAGAATTAACTGCTCTGAGACTAGTCCCTGGTGCCACACTGTCCTTGTCATCACTGCTTCTCTGCAGGCAGCCTCAAGAGGCAGGTAAGACCCAGGAACACCAAAGAATTATTAGTGTCTGCTCATCCAGAGGGAAAAGGAAGGGTTGCTCCAGGCCAGGGCTGAAGACCATGCACACAGTTGCTGCTATGCAGTACTTTTTCTGCGTGTAACAAATGAGCTGCAGTCCCTGTAGTTCTTGGTTTTATTCTGTACCTTTGAAAATAAAGAGCAGCCTATTCTCAGACTTCTGTGCTTTCCTTTAGCATTCAGTAAGTTCAGTTACCTACAGAAGTTCAAGCCTGTGCCTTATGCATTACCAATGACACAGGGCAGGTCTAATCCTCGTTTCAGTTCAGCTCGAAGGGACCACAGTTTGCCACAAACAACTAATACAGAAGTTTTGGAACCTTATATTTTGTTCTCATTCATGTCAGGGTGAATAAATTCAACAAATCCAGTAGACTGACAGCCATGAAGGAAGATCCGACCCTTGATGTTCATTTGTGAGATGTAAAATGCAGGCTGATTACAACCAGTTACCCTGGGCTAGCAGTAAATTAGCCAAAAGCAACAGTAACCACCAGGAGCTTTGACAGAAGATGAGAAGACACACTCAGTTCTGTCAGGTGTCCAATTTAAGGACCAGAAATTCTGCAAAGTTCAGGCTTTCATTTTCTGAAATTTCACACCTATAGTCCTATGTTAGTGGAAACAAGCAAGAACAAGTGGGGACACATACACACACACACACACACACAAATACCGTAATATATCTCTTTTTGATAGGCAGTGATCAATTGGGGAAGAGGCAATGTCAGAATTTGTTGTTGCAAACTGACAATAACATGTTAGAATTGCCCTTGTTTACTAGAACGTGTGTATAACGGACAATCCAGTGTACTCAGCACTATGTAAACTGACAGAAGCATAGAGGCCCTTCCCCAGAGAGCTTACAGACTTGCTGGAAAAGAATGAGCCAACATTGCTGGACAAGTTTTAGGAGCAAATGGCACCTTTTTTGGCTTAAGTCTGCTAGTCTATGAACCTAAGAGAATGGAAAGGCTTAGACACTAGCAATAGCAGCTTCACACAGGAACTACTAATGCAACTGATTTCATCCATAGGCTTGTAAGTTTCCATTCAAAGATCACTGAATGTGCTGCAGATACCCCTGGCTTACCTGCACAGGACACCAGTAAGCTTCTTTTCTTCTAAAGCTATATCAGAAATTAAGACAAGTTTCTTCTCACAGTTTGGACCACCTACAAGATCAGTAATTTTGAATGTGCTTTTTGTTAAAAGATGGATGCTGAGATTTGGCTTACTTCAATCATAATGAGGACCTCTGATTACTCAGGTACCTACCATCTCTCCTTTTCTCTCACAAACACCTTTGTCTGCCTCTGGGATAGTTTATCGAAGAGGGCTAAGCAGGCTCTAGTCTGCCTATCAGGCAGATACATCTCACAAGACAAAACTGATCTGGTGCTACTGCGGAGCTCTTTCCTCCAGGAAGGCTGGAACTGCATATATTCCTTTTACTCTAAGTTGGGTTCAATCACAAAACCATGGAATGGCTAGGGGTAGAAGAGACCTTAAAGGTCATCAAGTTCCAACCACCCTGCTATGGACAGGGACACCTTCCACTAGATGAGGTTGCTTAAAGCCCTGTCAAATCTGGCCTTGAACACTGCCAGGGATGGGGCAGCCACAACTTCTCGGGACAATCTGCTCCAGGGCCTCACCACCTTCACAATAAAGGTAATCCTGCTATGTCATCTAAATCTACCTTCTTCCAGTTTGGCAGCTGCTCAGATCTTGTCAGGCAGAGAAACAGAACCTGCTTCTACTTCTTGCGTCATTTTGGGCAATGTGACTTTTTCCTCAAAGGTTTGTTTAGACTCAGAAAGATTACAGAAACTGGAAGTTTGAAGAAATCAGGGTTGCCCACCGCTCAACCTTAAACAGTTACTGAGTCACCAATGAAGGAAAGGAGCCTGATGGTTTAAGATCTGACATTTCTGTCACAGAATTCACACTTCAGTGTCTCTACTACCTACATTTTGCTGAGGATATCAGAATAAAATAGTAGTGACCTGTAGCATGTGCTGAGATTGATTTCCATCTTTTGCAACAGCCCCCTTTTACAGGTAGGCAACTTTCTAAGCAACTCTGCAATTAGCCTGATTTTATGTTGAGCCAAATTAATCTCTAGCAAAACTTCTAGCAACTGGTGGATGAATGCAAGTAGCTACTATGTTTATGGAAACAAAAATACATGTGTCTTACTCTCCCTGTGGTTGGAATCAATACTGGCAAGCCTAAGGTGAAGGCAAACAGCCTGTTACCATCCTAGGTGTGTGCTGCTGCAGTCCCTTGCCTTGAGTGACTCTCAACAGCAGTGAGAGGTTAGGCATACCAGCAGATCATAGAGGAAGATGTGTGACCTGCTGTCATCTTGGCCATACCTGTTCTGTAGATCTGGATTTAGATCTCCAAGGTGGCCTGTTCCAGTCCAGCATCTTACACACCACTGGCTAAATATTAGCACTGCAGAACTAACATTTCATTTATGTCACAAATTCTTAGTGTGGAAGAGCTGAGAAATTGTTTTTAAGAGCTCCGAGTTCTAAAAGTTAAATAGTACCTGAAAGGCTGAAGTAAAAAGAGACAGGGAATAGACAGAGTTGAAATATCTGCTGCAATAAATAGGGAACTATTTTAAATTTTACCCATGAAAGCAGAAAGGAGACTTGTATTTTCCTTTTGCACTCAAAGAAATCCTGTCTGACACAGAAAGGTAAAGCTGGAAAAAACGTTGCTTTTGCTTCCTTAAACTGGCTTCTGTGCTAATGAAAAGTGAGCTCTCTAATACACACTGTGCACAGGCTCCCCTCTGCTTCTCTTCTCTCTTCCACCTATCGTCTTGTCTGACTTTTGCCTGTAATCACCTGTTCATCTCACAGCTATAACTGCCAAGTGTCTGGTGTTTGCTATAGTCTCCCAACTGCTGAAAAAAGAATTACAAGAAAAGCAAAGAAAGATGTAGGGGTAAAATCTTTCAATGACACAAGTGTGTCGCTGCCAGCCAGCCAAAGAGTGAAAAGTCTCCCGTGGCCAAGCCTGCTTGTGTGGGAGCTGCTGGTAGGTGTAGTTTCCTAAGATGTATACCTTGCCAGTGTGCAGAAGATGAAGACAGAAAGAAGGTCAGAGCAGCCAAAGCTAAAAAAACCCAAAAACAAAACAAAACAAACAACAACAAAAAAAAAACCAACAAAAAAACTGGAAGGACAAAAGATGACACATTCTTCTGCTTTTAACCCTAAAAGACCCCATGGTGCACAGCCTCTGGCAAATCAACAGACTGGCAAAGGCATAACGAACAATAAGACCATTAGATGGCCTTCTCCTCACCCAAAGGAAACAGTCATTTTTACATGCAGTGCCTGTGCTACACAGCCTGTGCAGGTTGGTACACAGTATGCAGTCTCTCAGCCACAGTAGAAATTAATTTCTTTCCTCTAGGTAACTAGGCTCATAATAGACAAGGCAGCCAGGAACTTCAGGAGGCTACCTAGTCCATCTTTCTGACAAGGCAGGATAAACTTTACCTACAACATTCTTGGTGATGTCTAACAGCAATGACAAGCCAGTGCCTCTGGGAGCAGTATATATCAACTTTATCATCAGCATTTTTTTTTCTTTTTCAAAAATCTGCTGTAGTCAAAGAAATGGCTTGTGGCACCTATAAATTACAAATGCATTAATCAGGATATAATTAGCATTAGCTTTCCTTGTGCCCACATATAAAGGTACTAAAACACTGTAACTAACAGCAGTATGTAATGTGATGGTGTGTGGAGACATATATATAAGCATTTCACTATGTGACCAATATGACGACCAAATAAGCAAACAAGGCATGGTTAGTTGTTCAAAGGAGGCAACCAAATAACAAAAAAGTTGCAACGAAGAACAAGATAAAGCATAAGGGATACAAACATGCAAGGCATCCTGCTGAAAACACAAGAAACAAGTTAGGAAAAAATAAGAGAAACAGCACCGTTAGCAGCTGGAGACTCCACTTCTGAGAGAGTGAAAGCAGCATTAAAACATCAGGTATCAAAAGGGACATTGGATATGGAAGACAACAAGCCAGCATCACTTCTGACTTCCCTTATCCTTTTCTTCTTACCGCTTCTCCTTCTGCAGCTGAGACCATCAAGGACAGTAGCTGACAGTGCTAACTATACACAATTGGTTCTGTGGGACTGTATAGTTACAGATAATTTAGGAATACATGTTAAAGGCTAACAGTTTTGTATATAAAGTAATAAGTAATGATAATCACTGAGAATGAACCATTAGCATAAAGTGTGTTGCTAATTAAGGAATTCACTGAAGTTTCATTTTAAAGTTTAAAACTGGCCTGAATTGTCAGCCTTCTAAACAGTCTCTTCCTGGCAGTCTGTAATTCCCTAACTCACACATACATAGACACACACATTTTCAGTTACTCAACATTATGGCCTGTTATTTCTTGCCCTATCACAGAAGAAAGATTATTTTCTTCCTCTTCACAGATATCACTTACATATTTGAAGACTACTTCTATGTCCCTCCTTCCTAGACAAGGACATTTGCCTTGTTTTCCCTTAGAGATAAATGGGGTTTAGACTGTGTTCATTACTGCTGGTTTCCTAAAGACTTTTTCCAAATAGCTACATTTTCCTTGAAGTGCAATGCTCCAGACTGGATGCAGTACTTCAGATGAAGTCTCATGAGCACTGCATATGGAACAATTATTTCATGTATCTCCTTGATGATATTCCCATCTACACTGCTTGTCAGACATCTGTCCCTCTTACATAGAAGGAGGGCTTACATTAGCACCCTGATGACTACTTCCAGTTTTATATTCTATAATATGGAAGATATGGATAAGCTCTGGTCCACGAGTTCCTAGGCATTTTTCAGAAAGATTTTTTAAAGGTTTTGCAACTTTCAGAAAATGCAGCTTAGGTCACTGTATGCTGGGATGGGTAGTAGTACAGCATCAACTACCCGTTTCCTGCTGATACATTTAATATTACTGAGTTCAGGCCCTGGCTACAAGGCATGCAACACACCCACACAAACAAATCAAATGGACGGAAGCAAAATACATTCCAACTCCATTTGTGGCAACTAATCAGAGGACTTACTGGGACACTTGGTCTCCAGGAGAGAACCTCAACAAAAG